AGATTCATGGCAGGGTGAATAAAGGGGCTTGGAAAATTTGCCAACAAGGTTGAGAAAGGAGTCATGGTTTTGGCAGGAAACACGTTGCCCATTGAGGTATATTGCCACCTTCCAGTTATGTGCAAGGGCCAGAACTTTCCCAAATCTAAATCCCCTCTAAGACAAACTTGGGTACAGGTACAGGTTCCAAACTTCCCACTTGCGTGATCATGGTGAAACACCACGGATAATATCAGGAGACCCATGACAAGTCTCTGGAGTAGGCGCTGGCTCCATCTACACCTCTCTGAGAGACTTGGGTTGCACCTCAGCCCCAGTTCCAGGAGCAGCTGGGCTGAGTGCAAGCATCTGCCTAACCTATGGCATATCCTGGATTTCCTGATGTGTGAATTTTTCCAGTCAGCTCCAACAACTGTTCTTGAAAGTAGAGCCAGCATCATTGCTATCATTGCCATCTCCTGTTGAGCTTTAGAAAAAGACAGTTCCAAGAATGTGGGGTAGAAGTAAATGCTCAGGTGAAAAAAAAGAAAAGAAGGTAAAAGAATTTTTAAAACATGAGTAGACTCTGGATTCAGAACAAAATACAGTGGAGAGCTAAGTGGTTAAGAAAATACTGCTTGCTCAAAAAGAGTGACCAAAGAAGAGCTTTGGAAATAAATTTGTGGGGATTTGGGAATTCACCAGTTATTTTTTATTAAATTTTTATTATTTGCATATAATGTGCTTTTATCATGCAGTCTCTATATGACCATCCCTTGCCTTCACCTTTCTCAGTGACTTCCTCCTTCAAAATTGTTCCTCTTCTACTCATGTGTTTAAAAAAAAATTACATTGTATATTTGAGATGGGAAAATGTGGTATTTGCTCTTCTGAGTGTACCTAATTGTGATTTACTTGATTAACTCTTTGTACTTCAATGAGTTAAACTTCTTCAAATTCCATCATTCCACTTTGCATACATTTAGTAAGAGAACTGTATCCTAGTGATCAACCTGTTCCACTGCCTGGATGGTCAGTGATCACGTATAAACAGAAGAGTATGATATTACAAATCATTTAAAGTGTTTCCCAAGAAGAATGTACCACCAGGGTTCAAATGAATATAATTTACTTAATGAATTGCCTAGAAATATCCCTGCAAAGCTAGAAGATACTAAGATAATTTAGTCTCTAAATAACATTATTTCTCAATAATTCTTGAAGACTTAACTTGCCCCATTTCCATTTTCTATAAATTGTTTATTTGGTAAAGCGAATATACATCTGAATTGGCTTTGACCAAATGTAAAACAAAACAATACAAAAACAAAACCCAATGCTTCAGAGTATTTTATGTCTTAAAAGAGTCCTGAGCCTCACACTTTCACTACTAAAATAGTTCTATAAATGTAAGCTGTTAGAGCCTTCTCACAAGCGGTGTTTCTGACCATGAAAGATCAAAGTTGTGTCTGGCTCTCAATCCTAAACTAAGCAAGCATACTGTTTTTTTCTTTTTATCATTAAACATTCAAATGAGATGTCTGTTGATATTGACATACATATATTCTACTTATCTCACTGTAGAATGTGAAACCTATTTTACCTCTACTAAATTAACATTTTGAAAGCTAACTTCCTTTTTTGCCTCTAGAATACTTGGCAGTTTTGAAAATATTACTTCTAGTAAAACACCCTGTTTCTTCAACTTCTTGCACATTTGGATATGTAGGCTTCTTTTTTTTTTTTTTTAGATTTTATTTTATTTTTTTATTTTTTATTTTTTCTTATCAGTTACATTTTATTAACTCTGTACCCCAGCCATATCCCGCTCCCTCATTCCCTCCCAGTCCCTCCCTCCCTCCCTCCTCTCCACCGTGCCCCTTGCCAAGTCCACTGATAGGGGGGACCTTAATGATGTTTTATGGTCCATTTTGCAGTGCTAACCTATATGCAAACATATACATTCACAAGTTTATGTGCTAAGAAACAGCCATCCACACAAAGTAAAACTAAATTTTGTTGTCCAGAATTATTTTTTTTCATACACTGCTATCCCTGGTGGTAGAATATGATTATCATGTTCATTTATATTCCGTTCAAAATTTTTCTTTGTCTTTGAAGGTCACATATACTTCTACATTAAATACTTTTAATTGTATGCTAATTCCTGGTTTTCATACTACATTTGTATTTATTCTCTAGTGTTACCACAATTCAAGAAAGACGTTCAAGTTTATGACTTATGATCACGAACAAATTTAATGAGGTTGATTTGATTTTACTTTTATATTCCCAAGTTTTGAAGAGACCCTACAGCTAAATGTTTTATTAGTGGCAACTGGGCAACCCCAAAATGGAAATAGAACGGGAAAGTCCTTTTCTGGAAACCAAAACATATCAAAGTGTCTTATTTCTTGGTCAATTCTACCCTCTTTGCTAAAGGTTTTTTTTTTTCATATTCTTGAAATAGAGTGTTATTGAGAACCTGTACTGCTTGATTGTAAATTTTGTGAAGTTGCTCTGGGGTTATATCTGGAACATAAATTGAGTCTTTGGAACTTTATAGACAAAAGTATAAAACGTCAGTGACTTCCTTTTCTGATTCATCCAAAGTAGCTTTCCATAACAACAAATATCACTATTTAAGAATTCTGAAATTTAGAGTGTCATGGAACCAACAAGAATATGCAAAAGTATTCAGTGTGTATATAAAGTATTTATAAGATATAATGTACGTATTATTTCTTCAGTAATGTTTTTATTAATGAAACTTTTTAAAGGAAAAGTAATACATGAACTATTCCTATTTTCTGCTTCAAAATACATGTAACAACCATTGCTTCAAATCACTTGACTAATCTATGAATTAGTTAAAATGTAGAAGCCTGCAAAGATTAATTTTGTCAACTTGATTGAGTTAAGCAGTACCTAGTAGGAATTTCCAAATTTGTTGTGAATTAACATAACATTGTTATTTTCAATTGTTTCAGGCCACATTCACAATCTTCGCAAGATGTTTTTGGCCTGTGGATCAAAGGTTGGAGGTGGGGCCTAATTGAAAGAAGTCAATCATAAGGGATGGGTTCTGGAAAGCTGTATCTTGCAGAAACCTCTTCTTGTATTTTTTTTTTCTGTATTTCTTGTCTTCTGAGAAATAAAGAACAGTTTCTGCCACATGCTCCCACTGTTATAATATACTGTTTAAATATGTGGGCCTGAGTAACCATAGACTGAAATTCCTGTGAGACAAAATTTTCTTCTCTTAGTTAATTCTGTCAGAAATTTTGGTTACAACTTAACATGGCATCTTATTTATTTATACAATTTTATATTATATCAGTTAGATTTCTATGAATAAAAAAGCCTCCATGATTTAACAGTTTTATAGTTTAAGCTCTTATATGACTAAATGACCTTCTATAGAATTCTTAGAAATAGCACATATAGAAGCAAATTAGTTCTCCAAACTGTAAAGCTAAAAAACAGATTCAAGCATAAATGCAGTCATTTAGTCTTTTTGAACTTTTATATTTTATCATGCTAATTTCTCTTCAGAATTATATATTTTGAATAAATATTTAATTGTAATCTGTTTCCTTTTTATTATTATCATTTATTACAGTTTATTCAATTTTTATCCCAGCTGTGGCCAGCTCCCTCATCTCTCCTAATGTGAGACTCAATTATTGAAATAATGGCAGAAAAAAAATAATACTTGTCGTGGTCTGTATATCTTTAGGCTCAAATGTGAAGTTCAGTCTATAGAAAAATCCAGCATTAAACAACAGTACAAATATTTAGGTAAAGCTGTAATATATATGTAGTGCTATAAAACAATTATCCCATTATAAGATGTTTTTTTTTTGAGTCAGGATCTGCCTGTATAGCTCTGGAAAAGCAGAAACTCTCTACATAGACCAGGCTGACCTTGAACTCATAGATATCCACATGCCACTGAAGTTCTTGGATTAAAATTGTGCACCATCATTCCTGGCTTCATTTTAAAAATAATTTTTAAAACACGGCTGCAAAAAGGAATAGCATGCACATAATTTTATATATTTAAGAGATTTTCAATGTATTCTCCAGTATTACTTCAAAAATTCAAAGGCCTCTTTCTAGTCTAAGTCACATCTGTCATTCTTTAACCAGCTACCTTAAAATTCACCTTTATAATATTTTATAACATATTACATCTTCACAAAGCAGACTTTTTTCCTTTGTGTTCACTTGTATTACCCTTAAAAATTTGCCTTAACAGATACAATTCACATGGTCTGTTGTTCACTTATGAAAAATCAGTAAAGTACTTGACAAAGATAGAAAACTTCCACACTTTCATATAGGCTTTATTATTATAATCTACTTTTTCTCTTAAGTGTAAATCTCTTTACTATAACTTACATCAGCACTCCATATTCACAACTTCAACAAGTACTTTTTATTTTTAGTGGCATAGCCATACGTCTACTTGATTGCTTTGGAGATGGTACTAAGTAGAACCTATTTGAGAAGAGTGCATTATATAAACAATGATAAAAGGAGACATTTGAAGCCCCTTACACAATGTCTTTATGAACCCTTGTTACTTCTGATTTCACTGTGTGCATACTTGAAACACTATATGAGTGTCTGCATCCGTGTATCAATCTTAACTACAATAAAGTTGATAAAAGACACAATAACCACTAGTGAGTAGTAGCAGATTGACATCACATTTAATTAATATCTATTCTATTGTTTACTTTTTCTGAAGTGTAGAAATCTTGAAATAAAAGCTTCTTTGTATTTTTTTTGGTGTAAAACTATAAAAATATTTTTAATGTCAAATTATTTGGGGCTAGATAGATAACTCAACACTTAAAAACACTATCTGCTCTTCCAGAGGTATAGAGTTATTTCAAACCTGACTGTAATTCAAGAGGATCTAATACTCCTTCTTACCACCACTCACACAAGCACACACATAACATATACATAGAGACACAAATATACATAAAAATACCAAAACTTTTTTAAAAACCCATCTGGCAATGGGCAAAGAGGCATCTTGCTGGTGATGTTCTTCTTGTATTAGTCAGGGGAAGAGCAGATGACAATCCTTTGTTCATCCTAGCATAATGCCTGGCTTGGTGGCCAAAGTTGTCTTATGCCTAGGACTCATAGAAATCAAATCACATCAAATCAAATTCAGGCAACACAGCACAGGGGGAAGAAGACCGACAGAAACCTACAGACAGCCATGCCACCCCCATATATATATATATTACTGATATTAAATTAATTTCTGTTATAGTAATAGGTTAATATACTAAATATCATATAATATATAACATATACTAATAATATATAAATATAATATATAGAATATATAATGTAATTATATATTATATGTAATGATATATAACATTATATATTATATAATATACAAAATAATTTATATATATTACATCATTATATATCTATATATACCTATAATATATGTATATATTTCCATGTATGCCATTTAACATAATATCTTCATTATGTTTTTTTTTATGGTTTTTAATGATATGCTATACTTTTGGGTTAGCTAGAAAAGTAAGTACTCTGCCTTCATTCTTGAGGAAGAGACAATTAATTCATGTGAACTCTGCTTTCTGTGCTGGAGACTAAATCTAAGGCATTAGGCATGCTACAAAAATGCTTAATGATTTAGATACATTTCCCATTTCCTAGGCTGACTTCTGTTGCCGTGATAAATACCATGACCAAAAGAAACAAGAGAAGGAAAGGGTTTACTTCATCTTACAGGTTACCATCCATAGTTTAGGGAAGGGAAGAAATGAACTTGAGGCATGAGCTTGAATCAGAAAACATGGAGGAAAGCTCCTTACTGGCTTGAATTATCTGGCTTGCTGAGCTAACTTATTCATATGCTCTGAGGCCAATTGTTTAATGGTAGCACCATGTAGTTGACTAAGCACTCCAAAATAATTTAACAATCAATAAAATGCCTCACAAATATATCTACAAACAAATTTGATTGAAGAAATTTCTCGTATAAGATTCCTTCTTTCCAAGTTTATTAAGATGACAACTAAAGCTAACTATGACATCTAACGGTTCTTTTATCAAGACATGGTTTGACTATGTTGCTTAAGCAGGGCTTGAACTCCCTAGGCTGCCCAATCTAGCCCCGACCTTATAATCCTAATGTTCTATGATCCCCCAGGGTACATATATACAGGCATATGCCACCATGCTTAGCTATATGCACATTTTACATTTGAAACATTATGTCAGTTACTTGTTTGTTGTTGCAAAACACACTGAACTTTGACAACTTTATCAATAGCTATTCACACATTAGCAAAAAGTTTCCAATTATATAAGAAAATCAAATTTTTATAGCCCATTAAAATATTTACCTGCTATAGGTTTTGATAATGTATTTTTCAGCAATAAGGTATAGTTTCTTATTAAGTAATGTAATTTGAGGAACACACTGTCAAGCATGTTAATAATAGAATTAAAAGCAAAGATATTGAGATTTTGAAATAAACATTATAAAAAAAAGAATATGTAACTGTTAGTCAGCCTAGAATTAATAAAAGTAATAAAAAAAATCTACCCAAACTAGGTGAAAATGTTTGGAATAGTGGAATATGAAATTAACATAAGCATATATCTTTTTTCTACCATTATTCTCTGGTCAAAAGTGGTTTCTTAGCTTGATGAAAGCTACTGTAACTCACCAAGAGCTTAGAGATGTATTTTAAACTCTCTTATTAAAGAAAAAAGTATTATCTTGGATTTATCAGGTTGTCAGGAAAACTTTCATATTAAAAAGTAGCCTTCAGCAAAGAATTAAATGTCAGTCCTTTTAATCCTCAAATAAAAAATTCAATATTGATAGTTACCTGCACAATAAGCAGAACTTCAAATAACTCTAATTTAAGATATACTTTAATACTTTAATAATATTAGAACACTTGGACAATATTAGACATGCTTAATAATATATTATAATGTTAGTATAGTAATATATTTATTATTTTTATAAAGAATATGACAAAAATCAACAAATGAGGGATAATTTATTTAGAGAGGGACATATGGGGTTTGAGCTGGAACACACATGTGTGTCTTTGTGTTTGTGTGAGAGAACAGATAACGCAATTATTTATGTTTTGACATCTCTACTATATTTGAATATTTGACTAGTGTAAAAACACTGATGGGGAAAACTTCTAGCATTTCTTTGTATAGTGTTACTAGATCGTTGAAGAACAAATTATTATGGAAAAGAGTAGAGAACATAACAAACCTTAAAGACTGAAAGAAAACATGATTGTCAAGAAACCATTGAGAATATTTCATCAAATAATTATCTATCTAATTTGACAACATGCCTAGAACATGAGTCACAATTGTACTGAAAATCAAAACTAATATTAATAGAATATTTGAAAACTATGGCATAAACCTATGAATAAACAGAAGCAGTAGCTTCTTCTTCATTTAACTTTAGAAGTCTAAATTGCAGCCCTATCAAAGATAGGGTAAAGTGGTATTTATTAATAACTGAATTTAGATGGATATTCTTTCTATTGTAAAGAAGGCATAGTAGTTGAAAAGCAACAAAGCAAGAAACTTTATGAATTAAATATAACTGTTTTGGCTGTTGTGTCTTGTAGAGGAAACTATGGCTGAAATTGGTTTCATGATAGTAAATTGTAATCATCTATCAATGACACCTCTAAGCATGTTTGTTGAAAACACATACAAGCAAAATATTGATTCTTTCTTTCTTCTTCTTCTTCTTCTTCTTCTTCTTCTTCTTCTTCTTCTTCTTCTTCTTCTTCTTCTCATTGTTATTCTTATTTTTATTTACTTAGCAGCTGTGGTGATATCCAAGGAAAACTGACAATTAGCACTGAAGATATTTTATATTAACTGGGAGTTAATTCTAGTTACTTGTGCTTTAGTTTTAAGTGGGAGTTACTACTTCATAACATGCAAAGGTCTTCAGCCTACATCTATCTCTTCTTTATGTGCAATTGATTTTCTTTCTTTTTTAATTTTTTATTAATTACACTTTATTCATTTTGTATCCCCCATAAGCCCCTCCCTCCCCCTCCGGATCCCACCCTCCCTCCCCCTTCTGCATACATGCCACTCCCCAAGTCCACTGATAGGGGAGGTTCTCCTCTCCTTTCTGATCTTAGTCTATCAGTTCTCATCAAAAGTGGCTGCATTGTCCTCTACTGTGGCCTGGTAAGGCTGCTCCCCACTCAGGGGGAGGTGATCAACGAGCAGGCCAATCAGATTATGTCAGAGGCAGTCCCTCTTCCCATTACTATGGAACCCACTTGGACACTGAACTGCCATGGGTTACATCTGTGCAGGGGTTCTAGGTTATCTCCACTAATAGTCCTTGGTTGGAGTATGAGTCTCTGGGAAGTTCCCTGTGTTCAAATTATCTTGTTCTGTTGCTCTCCTTGTGGAGTTCACGTCCCCTCCAGCTCTTACTATTTCCCACTTCTTACCTAAAATTCCATTCACTCTGCCCATCAGTTGGCCATCAGGCTCAGCATCTGCTTTGACAGTCTATACTGCAGAGGCTTTCAGAGGCTCTCTGTGGCAGGTTCCAAGGTTGTTTCCTGTTTTCTTCTGACTTTCAGAGGCCCTCTGTAGTACACTGTCATCAAAACAAAGCGACTGCCTACAGATTGGGAAAGAATCATCACCAACCCTTTATCTGACAGAGGACTCATATCCAGTATATATAAAGAACTAAAGAAGCTGAAAAGCAGCAAACCAAGTAATCCACTTAAAAAATGGGGAACAGAGCTAAAGAGAGAATTCTCTGTAGAGGAATATCGAATGGCAGAGAAGCACTTAAAGAAATACTCAACCTCATTAGCCATTAGGGAAATGCAAATCAAAACAACCCTGAGATTTCACCTTATGCCCATCAGAATGGCCAAGATAAAAAACTCAAGGGACAACACATGCTGGAGAGGTTGTGGAGAAAGGGGAACCCTTCTCCCCTGCTGGTGGGATTGTAAACTTTTACAACCACTCTGAAAATCAATCTGGCGCTTTCTCAGACAACTAGGAATAGCGCTTCCTCAAGATCCAGCCATACCACTCCTAGGCATATACCCAAAAGAGGCTCAAGTACACAAAAAGAACATTTGCTCAACCATGTTTGTAGCAGCTTTATTTGTAATAGCCAGAAGTTGGAAACAGCCCAGATGCCCCTCAACTGAAGAATGGATGCAGAACCTGTGGTACATCTATACAATGGAGTATTACTCAGCAATGAAAAATAAGGAAATCATGAAATTTGCAGGTAAATGGTGGGACCTGGAAAGGATCATCCTGAATGAGTTGTCCCAGAATCAAAAAGACACACATGGTATATACTCACTCATATAAACATACAATATAGAATAAACCCACTAAAATCTGTACATCTAAACAAACTAAGCAAAAGAGAGAACCCTAACTAAAATGTTCAATCCCCATCCTGAAAGGCAAAGAGGATGGTCATCAGAAGAAAAAGAAAACAGGAAACAACCTCGGAACCTGCTACAGAGGGCCTCTGAAAGCCAGAATTTCTTTCTTTTTAATTTTAATTTTCTTCTTACTTTTATGAAACTCTTCTTTTTGTTTTCAGGTTTGATGACTGCTTTCAGACATCAAAGAGATACTGTTTCATGAGAAGAAAATGAGCTCATATTTGGGATACTTTTGCTATTCTAGAAAACACCCAAACAACACGATATCCATAGTTTTGCTCCTAATCATGACAAGCTACATAGCCACATATAAAAAACTGCAATGAATTTTAAAACTCCCTTGATAGAGACGAGCAATTCTTGGGAAAATATTATTCAAATATACTTTGGGATTTCTTTGTACTTAAATGGAATTTGGAATATAAATTATATTAACTACAGTATAAAAAATATTTGAAACTGTATCCACAAACCAAATGAAAGACAAAGTGTTTTTCATAATGTTTGTTTTTTCTCTTTATTTGTAAGTTTGTTTGTTTTTAATTTTTTTTATAATTTTGAAATATGATTAAATCTACTTGAATATTTTAGCATGTTAAATAATATTTTGGAGGATATTTAAAGAAAATATTTAAAGTAAAATAGTAATCATGGGGA